CGCCGGCCGTATGGAGGGCCGGCAGCTCCGAGGGCAACCTCGGGAGGATGAAGGGGCACCGAGTGTGCGGCTGCCCCTTCTCTTTCCTTCCTCAGAGATGGCTCAATTAGCCGTCTGCTGAGGCCCTGTCATAGCTATATCTTTGAATTCTTTTACCCAGTCTCAAAAGTGCTACAACATTTCTTTGCATACTCATATTCATGACTAACACAATTATGTCTCTGAATTCCACTCCCAGAGACTCAAATTTCACATCGGCCAAGAAGCCATGATATATACTGTTGGGAAATGCCTCCAGAAGAAATTGTGTTTGTGTGTGTACGTGTTTTCAAGTCACTTGTTTACTTATGGTGACCCCATAGGGAAATTTCATAGGGTTTTCTTAGGCAAGGGGTGGTTTGGCCAGTTCCTTCCTCTGAAATACAACATCTGACATTCATCGTTGTTGTAGCTGTGTGCCTTCAAGTTGTTTCTGACTTATGGCGACCCTAAAACAAACCTATCATGGGGGTTTTGTGGCATGATTTGTTCAGAGGAGATTTACCATTGCCTTCCCCTGAGGCAGAGAGCATGTGACTTGGTCAAGGTCACCAGTGGGTTTCATGGCTGAGCTGAGAGTTGAACCCTAGTCTCCTGAGTTGTAGTTCAACACCCAAGAACACTACACCAGACTGGTGGGCATTACAGTGCTGTTAATGAAAGTAAGGACCTTATCACATGGGGTCTGAAGCAGAGCTAATCCAAAGGGCATCCACAGCTAATACATATTATTCCCCCGTGTTTACATACGACGCTGCCCCAGAACACGGAGCTAATCCGTATTGTTCCCCCGTGTTTACACATGACGTTGCCCCAGAACACGGAGCTAATCCGTATTGTTCCCCTGTGTTTACACACGACGCTGCCCCAGAACTCGGCAGAATACGGAGCTAATCTGTAAGGAGAGGGAGATTTTGACATTCGGTTTGTAGAGGAAGTACCTAGGGAGCCTTCGCATTCATTGCGAATTGGTGGGCAGGGCGAAAATCCCAGCGAGGGGAAGGGATTGCCTTGGCAAAAGGCAAACCGGATTGGAAAGAAGAGGAGGAGAGGAAGAGGGAAGAGGGAGGCGATCTCTCTCTCTCAAACCATGGGCTGCCTTCCCTTCTCCAGTCCTCCAGCCCTCCTCCTCCTCCCCGTTCCCATGGCTGCCTTTCCTCCCGGCTTTTTGTGACGGGAGAGAAGGGAGCCTTGGTATTAATTGCGAAATGGCCAAAAGGGCGATATTCCCATCATTTCGCTATGGAACCGAATTTATTACTACTTCGGTTAGTCTTTGCTTATTCTTCGCTTCGTGGCCAGCGTTTGATAAGGCCCTAAGATAGGTGGCCTTCCTGCTCTACATGAGGGAAACAACAGGTATTAGATGACAGAGTAAATAACAGAAAATTAGAGTTGGGAGAGTGAGGCAGGAACCCTAGGTGAACAACTAATTAAAAGCCAAAAAATCTCATGTTAACAGAACAGGAAAGTTTTAGATAAAAGAAATAGCATTCTCAGAAGAGATGGTTCATGTCCTAATGGGGCCTTGAACTGGGAGTCTCATGCTCTCAGAGAGCATGTTGATACTTCACAACTGGTACATATACCTTATGCTTTGTCCTTCTTTTTCTCTCTGTTCTTCACCTTTAATTTTTAAGGTCTCTTCCGGTATGCAAAACTTTACTCTCTTCTCCTTTAAAGGTCTCCCTGGCTAATCCCTCCAAGGCATCATTTCTTTGTTCAAGGATTCCTTCCTAGCTGTTCATGACATCTCTGTTCTTTCTATCTGCCTTCACTGTCCACCCCTTTCCTCTCTTTCTTCTCAGCCCTTTGGTTCTATCTG